AGAGTGAGGAAACCAAGAAAGCTCAACGAGACTGCTACACCCGAGACTAGCAAGACCAGGAAGTCACTACAGTCCTTAAGGCTCAAGGGACCAAGGGAGGAGTTAATATTACCTGAGCCTATTAAGATCTAGAAATCCTAAAAAGGGGTGGTCACGTGTCATTCAATATAAGGCTGGGAATGAAGTCTCTCTGGCCTCTCTCTTGCTAGATCCTCTGATTGGCTGTTAATGTTTCCAATTGGTTGAATCAAGATAGCACTGGAGGGGAGTGGGCCCTGGAGAGTACAGCCTGCAGGGTACACAGAGCAAGGTAGAAACAGCTAGAGAAGGGATTGAGATTACCTCACATGATGAAATTGTACAAGTATACTTCTCAAAGGCACATAGTAGGTGCTCAAGAAATAGCCATGGGCTGGGAAGGTGGCTCAGTGGTAGAGCGCTTGCCTTGCATGCCTGAGGCCCTGGGTTTGATTCCCCAGCACCACATAAGCAAAAAGAAAAAAGCCGCAAGTGGTGCTATGGCTCAAGTGGTAGAGCACTAGCCTTGAGCTGAAGAGCTGAGGGACAGCGCCCAGGTCTAGAGTTCAGGCCCCATGACCGGACCAAAAACAAAACAAAAAAAAAAAAACGCCCTGGAAGAAATAGCCATGGTTAGTACTATAGCTCTAAGGTTAGAGTTAGCTGCAACTTCCTGGCATAAGCACCTCCAGGCAACAGCCAGAGGGATCTGACTGTTGCCAAGGCCTTGCTTGTAAGGCTTCCTTTCTCCATTCTGCTCAATCTCACAGCTGTTTCTCCTGACATCAAGGTATTAATTATCCTGTCTCTGTTCTCATCAGGCTAAATTAACCTGTCTAACCTATTCCCAGGTTGGCAGCAAGAAAAAAATAGTAATTTCTAAGCAAAGTTCTTTAGAGAAAACTGTCCATCTGGGCATGACAGATCCCTTTCCATATGGTTAGCATCAAGCACTTCCCTTCTTTCTCCTTTCTAATATAGTGGAACAAAATGGCCTTGCTAATGACAATGGTCTTGTGTTCTAGTTGCTGCTGTAGCATCAAATATATGAGTCCATCAGAGTTGACAAATGTTTTCTTGTTTGTTGGTCGTGGGGCTTGAACTCTGGGCCTGGGTATTATTCTCCCTCAGCTCTTCAGCTCAAGGCTTAGCACTCTACCACTTGAGCCACAGCACCACTTCCCGTTTTCTGAGTGGTTTATTGGAGATAAGAGTCTCAGAGGGACTTTTCTGCCCTGGCTGGCTTTGAACCTCAATTCTCAGACCTCAGCCTCCTAAGTAGCTAGGCTTATAGGCATGAGCCACCAGCGCCGGGCTTGAAAAATGTTTTAAAAATCTTTTACTTCACCACTGTTCAGCTCACTGTTCAGGCCTGCAGCCTTCTTCTGCTTTGCTTTCATTTCTGTCACTCGTCCAAGGCATCAGAGAATCTGATGCTCTCTGCCCCCATTACTGCATCAAATCACTACTGCAATCTCAGTCAACATTCCTTTCTCTCCCTTTTGCTTTTGTCTCACTTGGGTATCTTGTCACATTTCCCATTCTTCTTAACATTCATGCTGGAAGGCTGGCCCTTTAGTCAACACAGCCAGCAATCAAATAGTTCCTGCCCTTGGAGGAAACAACCTGATTAAGTACTGTGAACGAGATAAAGCCTTTGTTTCTTTGACTCCTCTTGGCCTCTGGTTTATTGCTTAGTGCCCAGCCTTTCTGAAGGCTGAATGTGATCACTAACCTCCTCATGCAGCACAACTAGCTTGTATAGTTAGTGTGTGCTGCAGGAAGGTCAGTGACTTGGGTATGGCTTAAACAAGCAGAGAACTAATGATTCCAGGGCAGGGCTTTACAAAGAAATCTCTCCTTACCATCTTTAGAGGTAAGGTGAAGCAAGATGAAAACTCTAGTTCTTGGGGGTTGAGATGCCAAATAGCTGAAAGTAGCAGCAACAGTTCTTGGTGGGCCCTCAAAGGGACAGTTCTCTCACTTTGTGCATAGGAAGATTCCAGGAGTAGAGGGCTTGATGAAGATCAGGAAGCAAAGTTTTACTTTTCACAATTGAGTCATAGATAGTTCCCTAGGAACACAAGACGCCACTGTGTCCAGGAGGCTGTGAAGAGGTTAATTTGTACAGTCACTTCAAAGTTTTTTTTTTTTCATTTAAATATTTGTTCTTTACAAGAAGTCTAATAACAAGTTCAAGTTTTAGAAATCATTTGCTTTTAATAAAATGAAGTCATAGGCACTAGAATAATTCTTCTCAATCTAATCAGTATGTTAATCTCCAATGAAGAGAAAGATACTGGGTGTGTGTGTGTGTGTGTGTGTGTGTGTGTGTGTGTGTGTGTGTGTGTCTGTGTGTGTGTGTGTGTGTGTGTCTGTGTGTGTGTGTACGTGCGCATGCGCGCAGTCCTGGGGCTTGAACTCAGGGTCTGGGCACTGTCTCTGAGCTTTTTGTTCAAGGCTAGTATTCTATCACTTGAGCCACAGCTCTACTTCTGGCCTTTTGCTGGTTAACTGGAGAGTCTCACAGACTTTACTGCCCAGACTGGCTTCAAACTGTGATCCTAAGATCTCAGGCTCCTAAGTAGCTAGGATTGCAGGTAGGAGCCAATGGCACCTGGCTAGATATACTTTTAAAATTTACTTGAATTTTATTGTGTGTGGCTCATGTAAAATAAGATGAATGCTGAGCACTTTTTATTAAACATTGTAATAGCTCAAAGAGAGAAACTTAACAGATGGGCCCTGCTCTTAAAAAATTAAAAGTCTCTATGAACAAAGTTCAATAATAATTTTAAACCACATATGACTAATGTAGTAATAAACCAAGATGGTTCAAACATAGTTATAATTTGCCTTTGCTCACAGGACAGTCATTAGGATAATTAATGAGCTTAAATAAACAAAATTCTTAGAGAAAGAAATAGAGAGGTCAATAGGAAAGGACCTACTTCCAAATCTCCAAACTTTCTCCATGAAAAAGTTCTACCACATACTCAAGGTATTAAAACAAAGACAATACTACCATTAAGGTATGAAATTTGAAAAATAAAAGCTACTCATGAATTAAATAGTATTCCTGAGTATAAAGTAGTATTAAATAGCAATCCTGAGAGTTGGTATAGTTATCCCAAGAGTTGTTAATCTAAAAATCAGCTTAAAGGAGGTAAGAACTAACAATTATCTATTAACAGAGAATGGATCAGTTGTGATATAGTCAAACAGCAGAATGACAATAGTAATGAAAAGACAATTCACAACATAAAAGTATCTCTAAAAAGTTGATCAAGAATACATATGATTTCATTTATATGATTTTCTAGAAGAGCTAACACTAATATATGATTGCAGAAGTCAGAACAACTCTTATATGGGGAGGGATTGATTGGAAAGGCATGAAAGAATTTTCCAGAATAACAGAAAAGTTCTCTATTTTTACTGGGATTGTGGTTACCAAATCTAAAATTACAATTACAACATCTTTGCATATCACTGAGTATCAAAAAAGTAATTATGGTTTACTTGCTGGATCTTACTGTTAAATGTCACTTACTACTAGAAAATAGCTAGTAAATCTTAACTCTTAAAAACCAGTACACACCATTCAAAAAGCAGATATAAAAGCTTTAATTCACTGTGGGTACTTCTCTGACCATTCTTTATATTAGATATAACCTTTCACGTCTCCAAATAGACAAGTCTTTCATAAGACAGTATTAATGGACACTGCACATGCATTCAGCACATGTATGGCACCAACTTTTCCTTTTAACTAATGATATCTAACATATAGCATGAACTGCTAATACAAACACTGAACTTGTATACATGTTAGAAAGTTTAAATAAAACAAATTTAAGAAAGGCTAAATACTATGAAAGTTTACATATTATCAACTTTAATTCTACACACCATATCACAGTGACAACCAATTACAATAAAATCACAACTGCTTATAGATAAGAATATGTTCAGATTCTAACATCCAATTATTTTCATCTTCACATTAACTCCACACCACATAATGTTACATTTCTATACAAATTAAGACCAGCTTTCAGACTGTATATCAAACTTCTTGAGTAATAAGAATTACTATTTTAACTATGGCTACAAGAACAGTAACTTTAAATTCCCTGTATTATATAGAGACATTACTCCATTTATTACATAGAACTCTCCAATGGTGGTGTCTGAAAATAATTCAAAATATGTTATGCTACCATTCTACATATCTTCATACAAAGATGAAGTCTTTGTCAAAACATTAGAAATAAATATATTATTATAAACCCTACAAAATACTGCCAAGGGGAAAAAAAAGTCTAAGATGATTTAGAAACTAAACAAAACACAGCTGGATGCCAGTGGCTCATGCCTATAATCCTAACTATTCTGGGATCTTAGGATTGTGATTTGAAGCCAGCCTGGGCAGGAAAGTGTGTGAGACTCTTATCTCCAAAAAACTACTCAGAAAAAGCTGGAAATGATACTTTGGCTCAAATGGTAGAGTCCTAGCCTTGCGCAAAAGTAACTCAGGAACAATGCCCAGGCCAAGTTCAAGCCCCAGGACTGGCAAAAAAACAAAAACAAAACAAAACAAAACAAAAAAGCCCAACAACCCCCCAACCCCAACCAAATAACCCCTCAGAAACAGCTATTCTGTGCAATCTTCCTGAGTCAATTTTCGATTGGAATAATTAAGCCAGTACTATATTGGTTTAATATTGGCAGTTCAGGAGTCCTTGAACATCTAGTTCACATCCTATAAAATTCTGAAAAGACTTCTATATACCCAATTAATTATACAACAGAAAGCTGATCATGTTTTGTATTAAAACCTATGTGAATTTCAAGCACAGCCTTTTTTAACAGTGAATAAAGGATGGAAATATATGCACAGCTGTACACAAATCACCATTAAACACAGGAACAAAATGCCATTTGAGGCATATTAAATAAGCTCCCAAAGCCAATTCGAATATATTTATTTTCATTTATTTTGATACAATATTAGAAGGGACTGCACATAATTATAGAGACTGCTGCAAACAACACTTGATGCTAAGTGTTCTACTTTATCAGGCATGCACAATAGTTACCTTTTAAATTTTCTCATGTATACATCTTAACACATATATCTTAAGCTATAAATATATTTTAAAGGCTTTAGTAATTTTCAACCAAATTGTTTTAACTGACCTATAGTGAAGTAGGGAAAAACAAAAATTTCTTCCTTTATCTCAATACTAGATGGCAATATGACACCTTACTACTCAAACTGATAAACTTATTTAATGAATGTCATCCTTAAGATTTGAAATTTGATGAAATCTTATCACTACTAAATAAGACAATGATTTCCTGGCAGCAGTCTGTCCACCACACACTTACAGCATGCCAAACCTTGGGTTATATAAGACTGACATGCTGGTGGCTACAGATGACAATGATTGAACATATCAGTCTCTTCGTTTTATTCTGGATATCTTTATTTTGAAGTTTTTCTTACTATAAACCAAAAATAAAACAATCTTTTTTTTTTACATTGTATAGGAGATAACTGATAAATCACCTTTGTTGTCTTCCAGTGTGTGGCAAAGCAAAATATATTCCAATTACATTAAGAAAATCTGGAGTGGAAAGGGAGAATAGTTTTTCCATTTAAGAAAGCATTCTTGTCCTATAATCATAAAAACTTTACAAATACAGATTGCTTGGTTTAGAGTCACTTATGGCTTAAAGTACTGGATCTGAAAATCACTTCTGCTAAAATAAATACATGTGAATAATGCATAGATTGTAAATCTAGAAAATCATGCAATAAACAAATATTCTTGTGTACATCAGGATCTTGGTAAAGAGTGTGCAGGAGTGAACCATAAGTATTCCCACTTTTTACCAAGAAGAGAATCCCGCAAGATCTTTGCTTTTTGATTGCTTGAGATCATGTCTGTCAGATAATCTGATATTCTCAGGTTGGTAAAAGAATAATGTCTCAGGACATTTGCAATAAGAAACTGACTTGCTTCAAGTGCAGTAAGTCTGTCTAGGCAGAAGAGATGATCATGTAACCTGCTGCAGTCAATTGGGAATACTTGACTACCTAGAGTATCAAATGGGTAAATGCTTACAATGACCCACTGGAAAGGTATACTATATTGGTACACTGAAAAATTCTATCTGCCCTTTAAATTGGAGAATTGTCAGGATAAGGTCCACTCACTATTCCTGGTTTTGATATGCCCCTACAACATGAGAATTGAACTGAACTACAATGATTGTAATATCATCTCTGTACATCCGAGCAAGCTCTTCAGGAAGACTAAGCATTTTGGAAAGACGCTCATGATCAACAGTCCCAAACTCGTTGTTGCCCACAGCATGGCGAATGAGATGGGTTGCTGCATTCTGATCCTCAAATACTGAGGACATCTTGGCTCTCCTTTCTGTTAAAAGGCCATGCATCTGTCCCAAAGTTACCTTGTAGCCACCAACAGCTATCGGCTGTTGGTGATGCATACCCGTTAAGTACTCACCCACAATCCTAACCACATCCTGCCTATGCATAGTCTCCCACAACCCATCAGTAGCCAACACCAGAAATTTGTCCTGTGGCCTTAATCGGTGGTAAGTTACCTCTGGCTCAGCAGTGAGATAAGGAGGTGTGTGGTAATTAGGAGGGATAAACTTGGTGTATTCATTGTCATTCAACTGGTCTGGGCCAGATTCTATCACTCTCTTTTGAAGGTCAATGCTCCATTTGAACTTTACATCTCCAAAAGCCCTAAAAGGCATCAGCAAGCCGAGCAGCCGATCCTGTTTCACTACACTCTTGGCCTCATTCTTTGGGTGTTCCAGTTTCAGTCGTTCTATTTCTCTTTCATTCTGAGCATTGTGGTCATTAGAAAGTGTGACTGCTGACCAAGAGCCATCCTCTTCCTGCACACCCAACATGGCTCTGCTATCCCCAGTATTGGCCACATGAAGGTCAACACCATCCACATGGGCCACACAAGCAGTGGCCCCAGAAAATGCCACCCGAAGCACCAGGTAATTGAGAAAAGAATTAGGATCACCAACTTGAGCCTCCAAGGAGATGTCATTATCAAGTCTCTTGAAAGCATTAATTAAAGCCTCCTTCACATCAATATCACTTGACTCTCCAGTGTTGAGGTCTATAAGCTCTTGCCAGTAAGTCCTCAGGCTGTTAAAGTACAATTTCGATGCCTCCTTACTGAAATAATCGTTGGGATGCTTGTGCCACTGAAGGATGGGCAGCAGTGCACGACCACTCTCCACTGCATTTTCAATCTCTAGCAAAGTCTCATGGGGTAACAAAGAGACAGCAATATAATAAAAGAGTCTTTCACTCACTGCCTGGGAACAAGCACAGCCCGCGTGGCCATCGAACACCCCCAAAAGCATCCCTCTGGTCTGCAAGCAGGTTGCTGCGCTTCTCCGGTCCTCAATGGGGGCATTTGCAGGTAGCTGATTGCTATCGAATCCAAGGATGGAACTGACATTTTTGCCATCAAATTCTGGCACTTTGAAACTGTATTCATTAGCTTTAAGGATGCTGTTGACTTGTGGAGGTGTGAGGTAAAACTTCTGTGGTGTAGAAGCATATCTCCTTCCTTGGGTATACTGCCACCAGCTCTCCTTTGGCCTACAAAAGGTAGCATATGCTGGATGGGGTGTGTATCTCAGGCGACTCTGAGGAACGTAGGGCGGTGAACAGCAGAGATGTTTGTGATGGCAGTAACATGCAGTGCCATAGATTCTGCTCAGTTCACAGTTACGGATGAGAGGGAAAAACAGTTGCGTCGGTGCTGGCATGGCATCAGAGAACAGCGGCAGGCTGGAACTCCTGACTGGGATTCCTAGAGAGCAAATCGAGACAGATGTACACAAAGAAAACAGTTACACTTTATATTACTTAACTAGTTTTGTTTTCTAGAAAACACAGAGAATCTACATACCAAGCCTTGGCGCTAGGAGGACCGATATTTTATATATACATCATATATTTTTTCTACAGGCTATTTTAAGAAATTTCCAATCATTTCTGGAGCTAGGATTGAACTGTACTTAAATTTTACTTTTGTCTTTTCTTTGTATTTCTTAGTGCAGAAAAACTGCTCGGAGAGTACAAAAGATTTGGCAGGGGAAGGCTGAGGAGGTTATATAACAGTATGCCGCAGCAGTCTACCTGACCAACCAACACTCCTCCCCATCTAATCATTTTGTTTTGGTTTTTCTTTAGTGCCACTCCTGGGCTGGGAACTTAGGGCCTAGGTGCTATCCCTGAGCTTTGTGCTCAAGGCTAGCATTCTACCACTTGAGCCACAGCTCTACTTCTGGCTTTTGGGTGATGAACTGGAGACAAAGACTCCTGCCCAGGCTGGCTTTGAACCATGATCCTCAGATCTCAGCTTCCTGAGTAACCCCAAAATTACAGGCATGAGATACTGGTACCAGGCCTCACCTAATCTTTTCACAAAAGGTGTGGGATTTTGCACGGGCACTTCTCCCATTAATGAAGACCATGGGATCAATTGTTGGCATCTGATTACACATGTCTATCACAAAAAAGTGTCCATTGTATTCTCAAGTTACATATTTATATATTATTTATAGATTATATACACAACCACTGTATTAATTTAATTTTCACTACAACATATACAGAAAAATTTTTACACAATAAAAAATTTAATATTTATTTCTTGTACCTCAGTGGGTGGTCTTACAAAGCCTACCTCCCTAGAACACTGTGCCAACTAAACAAGCTAGGAAGGATAGGTTTGTCACCAACTGTCTAAATAATCCAGGAAAAATCATCCTGCCTCTCCTAAATTTTAAGTGAATTCATGAGAGCAGATGCTAAGGCCTCTTCTAGACTTAGGCTTTTATGGCTTTTTGGAGTGAGGCTTTGAAATAAAATGTAGATTTTAATCATTCATTACTGAATTTTAATCATTCATCACTGCTCTTTGTGATTAAAAAAGTATGCACATAGCCCTAAAATTAGAAATTAATTCTAAAAATTATTTTATTGGCTACCATTGCCTCTGTTTAACAGTCATCAGAGAAATATTATTTTCATTTATCATAGCCTTAAGTAGAATTCACCCCTAGAAAAATGTTTTCTCTTACACTAAAAAAGGTATTGTTCTGCCTTAGGAAAGAAATAAGGAGATGAGAAATAACAGCCTAAGGTTTGGAATATAAAGGTATTGCATTATAATTATGTTTTCTTTTAAAAAATCATATGACACAAAGCAATTTGCTGGGCATTCATGAATGAATCCATATCATTATTTCAGGTGATATATGAAATGAAAAGTCTTCAATAACATAATTTCCTGAATTTTTAAGATATTAAATCACTGTAGTCATTTAAATTATACTTTAGAAATAGTTTAATGAAGAGGGCTGTGCTGTGATCATAGCCCAAGTGGCATTGAACTTGCTTAGCACCACAGACAACACAAAACAAGAAATGCTTTAATAAACAGAAAAGGACTAATGAAAACCATTTGCATCTTAATATCAAATATTTTTCCAAATGCTGAACATTAAGAAAAAACTTTAACATATACCACAGAGGATTATCTACACAGTAAATAACTGTCCTATCCTCTTTTTTTTTGAGTAATTTGAGAAGTGATAAGTGGAAAATAGGGAAAATGAGAAAACTAAACAGTACTCACTGATTCTTGTTTGTTTTTTAATAAGCACTGGATAAGCCATCCAAACAAAACCTCACTTGGAAGTGGCAGAATAGAGCACTATTTTATCTGAACGAAGATGGCATTTGTTTACAAAAATTAAGACAAGATCAGGCAATAGAAAACGATGGCTAAAATTTTGGAAATAGGAAAGCATTCTGAAATTCAATAATATAGAACTTCCAGAAGAACATGGATCTATTAGGACTAACCACTTAAATAATAGCACTTCAAACTGAATACCTGAAAGTCATCCAAAGGTTAAGTCTACATGACTGGGCCAGGAACTGTGCTCAGTTGGGCCACATGACATTGGCATCCAGATGTAAACCTTTATCTAACTTTTTAGGTTTGCATCTAAAAGACACATCAATGTATTTTATGCAGTGCCATAAGGGTTTTACATTATTAAAAATATAAGATGGATTCAATCTTAATGCAAATTCCTCATAATTTTTATCTGTTATTTGTCCTTACTTTAAAATTAGGATGGAGGTAAGGAGTTGATAGATACTGTTTCATTACATGGCACCTAATCAAGGAATAACAAGTACAGAAAATCTGCATTTTCTTTAAGTTCCTTTATTCTGACCATTTTTCTGATTTTATAAGTGGCTGTAAAATGAGTGAAATCTTAAGCAAAAGAGCTCATAATTCATGCAGCAGGTGCTTTAAAAAAAATTCAAGCACTGAAATACTCAGCTACATTCTCTCTTCAAAGCACATACTCGAGATTAAGGACAAAAAAAAAAAGCAAAGAGTAAATGTTTTCAACTAGATCTTTTCATTTATTTAGGGGCCTAGCATACACAAGGACTGAGAGGCATCGAGCTCCAATGCCATTAAGAGACAAATTCTCAAGGAAGTTGAAATTCATGAAAACTCTCTGCTCTGTGGTGGTTAATGAGCATTGTATCTATATCAGCAAAAGTAATATATTCTCCCCATCAGACCAGATATCTGTAGAAGTGAAGGCACTTTCAAAGGCTTTGATAAACAATTAATGAGCACTGAAAAACTTTAGAATCTTTCTAAATGCCCTGTGATTCAACAAGAGCCTCCATGGAATAAAAACTTTTGCTGATAACCTTGCTAAAATCAGATAAGGAAAAAGGCTCTTCATTAGGCAGTAAGAATAAGATGGTACAACTGAAGCAATGCCATGTTAGTTCTAACCACAATTTCACCAAAAAGTTCCAACCTATGTTCCAAATATAGCCATATCATACGCAGCATCTCAATACTAGGCATATCTGGCCAATTTGGCCAATGACTAATACAACTGATGTGCTGCAATCCAGAAGGAGCAACGAGACTCATCCATTCTTACTGATGTGCTCTGAAGAGCCCGTGCCAAGGAATCATTCTACTTCATCAATAAACCCACAAACCAAATTAAGTAGAAAATGCTAGCAGTGCAGTTATTGCAGAGCTCTTTAGCCTTGCAAAAGAACAGTAAGTAAAGGGGGGGGGGGGAAGTCCAGTTTATGTAATCTGATTGCCTTAAACACCCTCCATAAAGATTCTGCGATTTTTTTCAGCATTTTCTGGAAATGCCTTAGCCATAGCACAGATCTCCTATCTTTACATGAACGAACAAACCAGTTCACTTGAGAAGACACAAAGCACACAGCCATCACTTTTCCTTTTTTAAAAATCAGTTTCTTTCGTCCCTACCTGAAAAAAAAAATCGCACTTAACAAAGCATCAGTACCATCCTGGTCCGGGACGCCTTTGTCCCTTTTTTCCTACCAATCTCACTTCTTCCTTCCATGCCGACCTATCTCAAAGCATCCGCACACAAAAGCAGCCACCTCCTTCCTGGGTACCCGTGGCGGGTGGCGAAGTTGCATACCTACCAATTCGTCTGGGCCCGGGACACACACACATTCTCCTGTCATCACAACACGGAGCCGACAACATCCACAACCCGCGCGGACAGCAGCAGCGACAGCAGCACCGACCCATTGAAAGCAAGGCAGAAGATGCTCATTAGAGGCGGCGGCGGAGGCGGCGGCGGCGGCGGGAGGCGGGGCGGAGGAGGGGCGAGGCCGGGTTCCAGTGGGGTGAATGGGCTGGGAGGGGAGGAGGGCCGGGAGGAGGGAGAAAAGGGTGGGAAAGAAGAGGAAGCCAAACAAACCAACCCACCCCGCCGCACGGGCGGGGTCCGGGCGCGCGGCGGAGGGCGCGCGGGCGGGCGGGGGTGAGCCCCGGGCCCTCGGTGCAGCCCCCGGGCGCGCAGCATCCTCGCCCGCCCCGCCCGGCAGCGCAGATCGGGAGCCAGCGTGTGGCAGGCTGCCAGCCGGGCCGCCCCGGCCTCGGGGATGTGTGCGGGGAACCCTGCGCGGCCGTCCCGGAGCTCCCGCTCCCGCGGGTCCCCGCAGCGCCCTCCGCGCTGACAGCTGGCGGGCGGGCCCGAGCCCGGGACCCGAGGCCGGCTCGGCGGGCCGGCCCCCTCCCGGAGCGGGCTCGGCCCGCCGCGCCTGGCGCTCGGGGAGCCGCTCCGGTCCTCGCCGGGGCCGTCGGCGCACGCCCCGCGCACGCCCCCCGCACGCCCGCGGCCGTCGCCCGGGACGCGCCCCGCGCACTCCAGCCCTGAAGTCCCCCCGCACAACTTGGGACCCGTGGAGGAGGATTCCGGACCGGGCGACTAGAGGCGGGGACACAGAATACCAACCGGGCACGGAAGACAGACAGCCGCTTTTTTTCCCCCCCAGTGAAGTGGCGGCGGCGGCGGCGGCGGCACCACTAGGCTCCTTCGCGCAGCCCCACTCGGCTCCCCGGAGCGCCGCACCTCGCCCCCGTCCGGCCCACTCAGCTCCCCGGCCTCGCCGGGCCACCACCCTGCCCCGCCCGCACGTTCAGGCCCCGGAGCTTCCCGTGTCCTGATTGGGTGCGCTACGGAGAGTGGGCGGGGCTACCGCGAGCGGACCGCGAGCGGGCGGGCGGGGGCGGAAGAGGAGCGCTGCGCCTCGCCAGCTTTGTGACGTCATGGGGGTCAGACAATCTTTTCCATTGAGCGCAGGCCGCCCATTGGCTCCCCGAGCCCGCCCACGTGACTTCGTCCAGTTAGCGGGTGAAGGTGGGTCCGAGCGGTGCCTGGGCTTTGATGTCACCCGGGCTGCGAAGGCGTTGGTTGTATTGGCTGCTGGCCAGGGAGGGATGAAGCGCCTAGGCTGGTCCCAGAATTTTTGCGCGCGTAGGAACGTAGGGGCGGGCTACTCCCCTGCCTAGTTGGCTTCTGCGGATGCTTGGCACCTCGGCGGGCACAGCGTGGTGTACCAGGCAGATCCGAGGGGCCCAGCCTCCCCCGCGCCTCGCCGCCTAGGTATGTGCAGACTACCCCAGGCTGGACCTGGGGAGGGACTGACTGCCCACCAACCGGAAACTGAGTTCCCTGCCGTTACTCCGGCCTGCGATGTTAGGCATGGCAGAGGATTCCAAATGTATTTTCTTCATTCATTCGTGACCAGGTCGCAGATTATAGGAGCAGGTCCCAGCAAAAGAAAGTTTGGTGAGGAAGCGTGTGGTGACGTTCTCTGACGGACTTTGAAATCGCTGCTTTCCCCTTTGTCCTGGCAGCCTTGCACAAGCGAGAAGGGCACCGGACTTGGTGTCAGAACGCTTCCCATCAATCTCAGTGATGTGATTCATTTCCCATCTTTAAGATTCAGTTTCCACAACTGTGAGATGATAGTTAGGCTTAGGGCGGCAGTGGAAGTCACCGAGAACTCTGCCCTCCACCCACACATGCTCCCTCGTTATGAGATTAAGGTTTCTGCACTTACCTGCATCCACAGGTCACCAAGTAGAAACATCTTCCTTGTTCCTTTATGGAACAAACACTCTTAAAACTTCCTTGGAGATGGTAATCAGGTAGATTACTTATCTGGATAAGCTTGATCGGAGTTAACCTTATGTTTCTGCTTATTAGCTAATAAAGTTTAAAAAGTGATGTGGGCTAGATAAAAAACTCATTTATTAAGCTAGGTGCCAGTGGCTCACGCCTGTAATCCTAGCTACTCAGGAGGCTGAGATCTGAGAATCACGGTTCAAAGCCAGCCCAGGAGAGCCTTCCCCAACAAAAAAAAAAGCCAGAAGTGGAGCTGTGGCTCAAATGGTAGAGTGCTAGCCTTGAGCAAAAACGTCTGGGACAGCTCCTAGTCCCTGAGTTCAAGCCTCAGGACCGGCACCAAAACAAATAAACAAAAAACCCAAATCTAGTCACGTTGACACTGCTGTGAATTTTTATTCTGACTCTTGATTTTCATGTCATAAAGGAAGAACTTGATATCCCCACACTGATTATACATAACTTCTAGATCTTCCAGGCTACCTCCTCTGTTTTCTAAATGAAGAGAAGTGTTTCTTTTCCCATTCCCAGGGAACTCTTGTAGTCTAATGACTTTCATCCTCAATTGTATGGGTTCCTCTGTTTCACTTCAACTCCTTCTTTCCTGCTTCTCATAAATTTGCAAGTGCTTTTTATTTTCCTTCACTTTCTGTTATCTCACATATCTGGTTTTTTCTTGTTTCATGGAGGAAGCATAGGATGGTGTATCACAGAGATTAAGAGCCAAGCTGAACTCAGGCTGGTTGAGTTGCAGTCTCTGCTGTGCATCAGTTCTCTCATATGTAAGATAGGAATAAAAACTAATTCAGGGCTGTATTAAGGGAGTTGCTAAGAAAGGCTGTTAAGTGTTAATAAATTACTAAGAAAAAAAGTAAATACTTTGTATTAGCTATTATTGTTAGAAATGGGTCAGGCCAGTGTTTTAGATTGTTTGTCTTGTTTCATAGAAAAGCATGAGGCAAGTCCCTAAGTGCAATGTGTGTGTGTGTGTGTGTGTGTGTGTGTGTGTGTGTGTGTGTGTGTGGGTTGTGGGGCCTGAACTCTGGGCCTGGGTGCTGTCCCTCAGCTCTTCAGCTCAAGGCTAGTGCTCTACCACTTGAGCCACAGCACCAGTTCTGGCATTTTCTGCTTATGTGGTGCTAAGGAATCGAACCCAGGGCCTCATGCATGCAAGGCAAGCGCTCTACCACTGAGCCACCTTCCCAGCCCGCTAAGTGCAATATATTTTATGTGCAATATATTAAGTGCAATATATTTTCGAGGCTAATGTTACTAATAGAATGGAGAGTCTTAGAATGTTAGGCTATTAACCTAGCTCCAGTTTTGCCATCATGGAGACCAGTTAACTGAAGCTAAGAGTAAATGAGTAGTTTCTACCTGAGGACCCTGAAAAATGTAATAGATTTCTCTGTTGTCTTTAGTCTACTAACATTCTCTTAACGGTTATGAATAATAAACTTCAAAATTTCTACATCCATAATAAATGACCTCTTGAAAGTTGTTATATTAGTGGGTGCCAGTGGCTCACACTTATGATTCTAGCTACTTAGAAGCTGAGATAGGATGATCATGGTTCTAAGCCAATCTAGGCAGAACAATCTGTGAGACTCTTAACTCCAGTTAGGTTCAAATGGTAGAGAATTATTAGCCTTGAGTGAAAAAGCTAAGGGTAAGTGCGAGGCCCTGAATTCAAGCCCCAGTAGTGGCACAAAAAATATTTTAAAAAGACAGTTGTTACTTTTGAAATATTTTAAAAAGTTGTTAGTAGCATATACTCAAGCCCTTGTGACATATTGACAATGCCCTTAGAGTTTTTCTTTTCTTTTTTTGATGACATGAACCCAGACCATTGGTAAGCACTTTTATACCCTGAGCCACACCCTAACCTTTTTTGCTTTAGTTGTTCTTTAGATAGGGTCTGTCTCAGATCATGATTTTCTTACTTCTGCTTCTTGTATAGCTGGTCCTCACAGCACTTTTAATTACTTTCAGATCTCCACAGGACATTCTAAATTGTCCTTACTATAACCAAAACGTTGTTGTTGTTGTTTTTTATACCAGAATAGCCTTGCATTTCCCGTCTTATTCTTCTCACTTCTGAATGATCTGGGTATTTCTGAAAAATATCCAGGCTCAAAAACACTGGTATTTGTCACCACTAAATATAGTCAAAGGATTTGTCATCAAGATTCAATGTCAAGGTATTTCTGGAATCAGAATAAAGCCTTCCCAAAGAGGTAACTTTGAAGTAATCTTGTTTAGAGGTGTAAGTTCTGCTCTCTAGTTGCAGTTACATGATTCAATGATATTCATATTAGAAATAAGGTGCCAGCTCACCGGCAGAGGAACCAATTCTGGAACACTGGAGAAAGTTCTTTAGTTCCCAACCTTGATTCCCTTCCAGCTGGCCTTGCCAGAAGGACCTGTACTTCAAAAGTGCAGTCATCACATAGTCACGTGGCCACCGCCAGGGAGGGACCTGCGGCTTGCTGCTGTGCTGCAGAGACTTTCTTATAAGAATACTTAGTGGAAGGTGTTGAGAAGTAGCACTGAAATAAAATTATTAGAGAAAGGCAAGAAAAAATGTCTTCCAAAATAGTACACACCATAGGTGCTCAGTAATGAATAAATGAACTCATTTTAAATGAAGAACTAAGTGTGAATGCTTTGAGACTATTTCATGAATAAATGAATGAATATGTCAGCTTTTATTCCATTCTTTAAGTTTTCAAATAGGGTATGTCAGAGTTATATTGAACTAATTAAAGGTGAAACGTGTAAAAACACTTTCATACTTTTGAGGCTAAACTGTATCTTTATAATTGCAAGATTTCCACTAATGCTTATTGGGTGGTAATCAGAGATGCATTTTTGTATAGCTAGGTTCATCACCAGTGAGCAGCAGCCATTCTTGTCCCGACACTGCAGAATTCAGGTTATGGTTAGAACCAATTGTGGTTTATAATGGCTTATTTCCCTTGGAAAGAAGATGATATAAATCTTTTTAGAATGTTTTCAGTCTGTATCCTACTGATAAATGGTACAAAATGGACAATGGGATCTACTAAATGCCAAAGTTAGTGTTCAATTCAAAATGCTACTTTTGTTTTTAGGCAGTATTAACTGGAGAAAGCAAAGTTCAAGGAGGTAAAGAAGAAAGTGAATTAAAGAGGAATGTCAAAAATAGCTATTGGAGTATCGTCTAGTTTCTCACAGGAAAATGGACTCAGTAAAATCAGAATATTTATAGAATTATTTGAGTACAATATCATGATTGTGATTTTTAACCCTTAGAGTATCTTGGTTTTGTGATATATGAGTTGATAACACAAAGACTTGAAATCAGATCCTGGCTCTCAATCTTACTAGTGGATAATCTTTCAAATTTTACTTAATGACTTTTTTTTTTCAATCTGAGGTACATTGTAACAGTTGGGGATACCATAAATGAAATGCCAAGTGACGGCTGGCAAATAATACCTCATGTTAGGTTAGTTAATTTGCTGCTGCAAACTAATGGTTTGAGACAACACCTCCTGGCCTTAATTCTTCTCCATATTTGACAGGAGTCTGAACAGGCTGCTATGAAGCATCAGCAGGGCTGTGGGTCTTTTGGATTCAGTAGAGGAGAATGTTGTGGAGAGGGGGGGGGGGGGTTGGTAGTTTTCAAAAACTGCCATTTCTTCTTTTTAAAAAAAAATCATACTACACATCAGCTTATTTTTTATTTTTTGTTTATGTGGTACCAAGGAATTGAACCCAGGGCCTCATGCATGCTAGGAAAGCACTCTTACCACTAAGCCACATTCCCAGCCCCTGTCATTTCTTCTTTCTTTACTCCTTCCTCCATTCTACAACTAATGGATTAGCGTCTTTGAATCATCCTTTTGACTCCTTTTGGGAGTTTTTATTTATTTTGTTTCAACTGACCCAAAACTTTTCAGTGAATTTGTTAGGATATATT